TGACGCTGCTCTATGAGTTTGTCTTTTGCTCTTGCATACATGCTTCGCGTGACGCCACGAGTTCCTCCATTGCGCTTGCACATATACTCTACAGTATCAAATCTTCTCTCTGGTGTACAGTTCTTTACCTTACAGATCTTCCGTAGCACCGCGGCTCTGTCAATACATGTCAATTAATATCTTTGCATGCGCACTTGATGCCATTATTACTAAGCCCTTGACCGTATGGCGCGGGCGACAACCCTGAGAAAAGCGTTTTGTTGATTTTTGTTGTTTGTTCTCTTTTGTCGTTGCATGTGGTCGTATGATGTTGTGTGAGGTTGTACGAGGTTGATTGAGGTTGTATGTTGTGATTTGTTGTTATATGCTGTTGTGTGGTATTGTTGCTGCAGTGGTTGTTGCTATCGTTGCTGCTGTTGTTGCTGTAGTTGCTGTAGCTGCTGTAGTTGCTGTAGCCGTAGCCGTTGTTCTTGCTTTTGTCCTTGTTATTGTTGCTGTTTCTTCTCTTGCTTTTCTTTTCATTCGTCCACTTCTGTAGCTTCTTGTTGGTTTTTGTCTTCTTCTTTGCTTTGTTGCTGCGGTGGCTTTTTGGGTCAAGGCAGTTGTTTGCTGTTGCCGTTGTACTGATGGTTGGGGTTGCAGTGGTGGTGTTTGTCGTCCTCGCGAATTGTGTGCCAGCCTGGCCGGAGCCACCAGCCGGCCATCGCCCTTTCTCGTGGTGTTTCGATGGGAAAATTCGTCGCATTGCATCCACTGTGCAAACCAACATGGAGTACAGGCGGATTGGCAAGGGTCCATTGATTTTCACGTGTTGTGTTGTTCCTGATGTGTTGCTGGTTAGGCATACTGCGGCCGCATCGCTCAACAGTATTTGTCAAGTTTCACCGAATTTACGGCTGCACGCACAAACTCGCTTTAGCACATCTCGGCTGTTTTGCGATTCCAGTTGTCTTTTGTCCTTCTGCGTTTTGACTACTACAGTATCATCGTCATCATCATCATCATCATCATCATCATCATCATCATCATCTTTATATGTATTAATATGTATGAATGGTATGGTTATCAGGAATAATGCGTAATTAATTATATATATATATTGCTTACTTCGCTGCGTAATGCCCAGGCCATCAGTGAGTTTTGGGTGAGCGAAAACGAAGCCATCCCGACTCGGCGGAAGTGGGCGAAGCCTTGCACGACGCATTGCGACTTGGCGTATTGGCGACGAAGATGCGTTTATGGATGTTCAATTCAATGGTATATATATATATATACATGTCTATGTATGCATGCATGCATGCATGTATGCATGTATGCATGTATATGCATGGATGCATGGATGCATGTATGCATGGAAGTATGGATGCATGGATGCATGGATGCATGGATGCATGGATGCATGGATGCATGGATGCATGGATGCATGGATGAATGCATGCATGCATGGATGTATGGATGTATGGATGGATGTATGTATGTCTGTATGTATGTGTGTATGTCAGTATGTATGTACGTAGGTAGGTATGTATGTATGCACGTGTGTATGTCAGTATGTATGTACGTAGGTAGGTAGGTATGTATGTATGTCCGTGTGTATGTCAGTATGTATGTATGTATGTAGGTAGGTAGGTAGGTAGGTAGGTATGTATGTACGTACGTGTGTAAGTAGGCATGCATGTCTGTATGTCTGTATGTCTATATGTCTGTATATCTGTATGTATGTATGTATGTATGTATGTATGTACGTTTGTACGTACGTATGTATGTATGTGCGTATGTATGTATATGCGTATGTATGTATGTGCGTATGTATGTATGTGTCTGTATATCTGTATGTATGTATGTATGTATGTATGTATGTACGTTTGTACGTACGTATGTATGTATGTGCGTATGTATGTATATGCGTATGTATGTATGTGCGTATGTATGTATGTGCGTATGTGCGTATGTGCGTATGTATGTATGTATGTATGTATGTATGTATGTATGGAATGTATGTACGGTATGTATGGTATGTGTGGTATGTATGGTATGGTATGGTATGGTATGGTATGGTATGGTATGGTATGGTATGGTATGGATGTATGTATGTAATGTATGTAATGTATGTAATGTATGTAATGTATGTAATGTATGTAATGTATGTACTGTAATGTAATGTAATGTAATGTAATGTAATGTAATGTATGTATGTATCTATGTATGTATGTATGTATCTATCTATGTATGTATGTATGTATGTGTGTATGTGTGCATGCATGGATGTATGTATGTGTGTATGTATGTATGTATGTAAGTAATTAATGGAATGTAATGTAATGTAATGTAATGTAATGTAATGCAATGTAATGTAATGTATGTAATGTATGTATGTAATGTAATGTAATCTAATCTAATGCAATGTAATGTAGTCTAATCTAATGTAATGTAATGTATATATTATGTATGTACGTATTAATGTATGCATGCATGTATAGTACGTAGATATGAAAAGCCCAAAAGGGTTCAATGTCCAGTGTTCAAGTGTACTGACAAGAATTTGAATCCGAACCATTCTTCTCAGCGCAAAGAGTTGAATCCTCTATTTTCAGAACGAAGTTGCTGTGAGATGTTGTTATCCTACATGCCATGGAACCCAATCTAGCAACAAACAGACAGCTGGTTTGGTTGTTGAGCCTCCAGGGCATGTTTAGCTCAGTTTCTTCTGCTGCTTGGCATGATTTGGGATGTTCAAGCCATGTAAAGCGCACATTCGGATAGCACCCCACCCTATAACGATGAGCACATCGTTAAGCACCGGCACAGGAGAGGCTAATTTCAGGAAATCTGGTGTGCTACACAAACATGTCAGGACATAGTCAGCCCAACCTAGTGATCACCAGTTCGAAATCTCAACATTACTTCTTGCGCCGTTCGGTTCAGGATAACTTCCACCTTCCTCTGGATGTGTATGTCGAGGAACGCCGCCACAGTTCCCGCATGTCGCTTATTAATCGAAGCGAAACAGAAGAATTGGCGTCAACGGAACTTGGACGCGAACTGCGAACACGTCGGTTTGTTCGAAAAAGCCTGATATGCGGCATCTCCGCAATCTTTGCGATCCAAGAGACCCCTAGCCAGTACAAGGATCCCTTCAAGATGCTTCACCACAATCATTGGGGGTCCCCAATTGGGAAGGTTTCCAAACAGCATTTGCACGGGGGTCTTTTGTTCTGCGCACCTGCAAACCCTCAGCCACGCAGCTCTCTAAACAGCCAGGTTGGGCAAGTGTTGGGAACGACAGTTGCCATGATCTTAAAGTCCTAAAGGATTCAAGGGGAATCCCCAACTTGACGGAGATGATGTCCCTGATTTCCAGATGAACATTGGATGGAAGTGGGGCCTGGAAAACTATGGAAAACTGAAGCTCCCAACACTCCAGCCACACCGGTGCTGGGACACCACGGCTCTGATGGAAGTGGGGAATTCATTCTGGATAGCATCCCTTCATCATGTTGGGACAACATTGGATAACGTTGGTGTTGGGTTGGAATTGGGGAACTGGTGCTAAACCGCGTTTTAGATGCAAAAGTGGCAATGTTTGATACCAAAGATCCAAAGGACCTTTCGCAAGTGGACAAAAGCACCATGGCTGTGAGTGGTTCTTGGATGATACTCCAGTTGGATTGTGAACCTGACAAACGGGTTGCCATTCCACTTCGGGACAAACTGGTAACATGGCAAGCCGTGAACGCCAACTGCACGCCTTGTTGTCTGAAAGGTCCCCCAAAAATATGGTCTGAAACGTCATCAAAGATGTTGTTCCCAAGACTGTTTTCATATGTCTAATGTCTATTAATGTCTCATATTCAACAAACTAGGATGGCACAAAACTAAAAATCATTTGACCTTCACAACCTTCCGTGGCCACAGACCCATACACCCAACGGAGCAGGCTGCACTCATCTGCCCTTTGGGCTGTGATGAATTTGGCCAACCTTGGCACTAATAAGGCTAATTATCCTCTCACCTGAAGCTCTTTGGACACAACAACGGCGATCTCAGAAAGATCCCTCATGGATGTTGCCCAGTCACGTCAACCCATCAACCTATCATCAACCTGTCCTGATCATCTGAGGTGGGAGTTCTGTCTTTTTCGGTAGCTCGGAACATCGCAATGTCCCGCGATAGAGCAGCAGCCGCAGCACAGGGTGTCACAAATGAGCCATTGCCATAACCCAGAGGATCCATGGTGCTGCTATATATGGTAACATTTACCATCACTATATCCCCAATGTTAGTATATATACCATACATGGATCCTATGGGTAAAGGTGATTCAAGGTAACGATTTGAGGGAAAATTGAGTGGAACCATGGGATTTGCTGACTATTCCCCCTCAAACTCAGTTTGAGATTGACAGAATGACTTGCAGAGGTACCACGCATCATAGCCCATATGCAACAACTCTCGTCACTTCTCAAAAACATGCATATTTGGAGGTAGTCATCATTTCGTGCATTACTTGGTGCCTTCAATCATCTTACGAAAATGTCTCAGCATGTGCCTTCAATGATTTCAATTATCCCAACCCAAGGATTTCGACCAAGCCCAATCATGAAGTCACTGGGCAGAAGAGGCTCCTTTCAAAGGAACTGCGCCAATATCGAGGCAAATCCATGACATCCATCCTAAAAGCACATCTATATATATATATCCTTCTGTGCCAAGTTGAAATAATTTCATACTCTGGTAATCCCAATACCAAATGATCCCCAAGTGCCCAATTTCAACAATTGGCAGGGGGATCAAAAGCAATACCCGTTTGAAGGATGTCTACTTTGGGTTTAACCGCATGCTTCCAAATCGGGGATCATTGGAATACGATTCAAATTGAATACATGTTCGTTGTCCACATGTTCTTACCATTATTGGGTTCCCAAAAACCATGCGTTACTGGAATACTGTAGCTCAATTTCAGAATCTATTTCCACATCCCCCGGTGCACACGGCAGCGCTCATTGCAGCATCTGGCATTCTTTGGCCGTCCCAGTGGTAGGGCCTGAACTCAACCAGAAGGGGAGATTCACCCAGAACCATGGTGGATTTAGATCAAAAATGCTGACAAGTCAACCATCATTACAACCAATACAGATAAATACTGATATGGGAAATCATGGTGATATCTTTTGGATACAACCAATTTTAGGTATGGGGAGTGTCTCCGTGGGATCAGACAAAGGACTGGGGCCCACAAAGGGGCCGACTGATCGATGGATGGATCCCATGGATCCATTCTGAAAAAGGTGACTCACTCACACATCCAGAGAAGTTCAAGAAATCTGAGGCCATGACATGTTCATTCCGACATCAATTCATCCCATTGGAATCCCATTGGAATATTGGAAGCGATGAAGCCATGGGGCTCATGGTTTCCTGGACGCAGAAGGCCAGACTCTGGGCGACCCAACTTCTGGGCGAAGCAGATCGTGTTCTGGGCTCCAGAGCTCGCAAGACGGCCTGAACTCCCCATGAGTTGATGAACGCAGATTTTGAACACGGCTTGGCGCCTGGAAATTTCTGCAGTTGTAGATGATTCGCCTATCTAAATCATCATTTAGGTCAGAAAAACAATCCACCAGCCACCTCCAAGTTTCCAAGTTCGTTGTCCAGGCGGGTGAGCACTGCAAGAGTCGAGCTGAAGGCTTCCCCTGCAGAATATGGCTCCAAGGCTCAAGAATATTAAAGTACCAACGGACCCACAGAAAAATACTCTCCGGTAAATGTGGCTCCATGGGGAATTCAGGGGAATTCCCCATGGAGGTTTAAGTTTTATTCTAGGTTTCAATGGTAAAATCCTCAATGGGTGATGCCGTGATGGACCTGCAATGGGGAACTAGTCATTTTGAGCCGCTCCACTGGTCTTCCAACTATTTCACAAAGGAAATACATACTGAATGAAACTATATTTGATCACCTGGAAGATGATATATATGATATATCATTGAACTATGACCCAGAAATCCATAGAAGTCCCTCATGGAATGTCTCCATCGCCATTTTTTGTGATGAACTCCGGCCTTCGGGGCTTCCGCAGCTCCCCACTTCGTCCTCCATGGCATCCTGTTCACTTAACCAATTCGCCTCTGGGAATGGGATTGTTGGGGTTCCAAAGTTTGAACATCATTTATAGAATGTAATATGGGTTTCAGTAATACATGAAAATCTTTGAAACGCCCCCATATTATGATTTTGATTGATTTTGCTGCTTTACCAACCAAAAATTCACCCAGCTTTTGTTGAGATCCCCAAGTGAAACGTTTGAGGAAACATGAGGAAACCGTAATTTCGAACCATCAAATCCGGGGCGGTCAAATTTCCCTTCAACTTTATTGAAATATGAGCTCTCATATGTGAAAAAAAGGCATTTTTATGCCCTTCTCCAGATTTTTTCCAAGTGACCAGCCCAGCGCGGCTCCTCCGTGGCCAACATCTCCGAGCGCAACAAGGCCGGCACGGATGAGCAGCTGGAACTACGAGAGGTGGCCTAGTGGACCAGGGAGTTTGATGGGGATATTCATAGGGATATTACAGGGATTACACATGAACATACGGGGGTCACGATTCTATATGTCTGTAATAATAATGATGATAATACTATACAACAATTATACAATAATATACAATAATATACAACAACAACAACAACAACAACAACACCAACAACACCAACAACACCAACAACACCAACAACACCAACAACACCAACAACACCAACAACACCAACAACAACAACAACAACAACAACAACAACAACAACAACAACAACAGCAACAGCAACAGCAACAGCAACAACAACAACACCATATATATATAAATAATATAATATATAATATATAATATATAATATATATATAATATATATAATATATAATATATATTATATAATATATAATATATATATATTATATAATATATAATATATATATATATATTATATAATATATAATATATAATATCGATATCTAATGACAATTTAATAATAGGGGTTTTAATGTGGATGACCACATGATATTAATTGGGATCATCCGATTTGTAGGGAAGATCAAACATTTGAAATCAGCAACCAGACTCTCAAGTCTAACTAGTGATGATTGAATTGTCGAAAAATGGGGTATGCGTATGCCGTGATATTCCCCAAATTCAAAGGGGAATGCCCCATCGTATCTACACTCATATACATTGTACACTATGTATTACATGCATACATTTTGCTGCGTGAATAATTATCTAGTTCTTCATTCATCCATTCATCCATTTATGATGTTCTTATATATCATCATCTATAATTATCTATGCCTCCATGAAACTGGCCATACATAAGCTGGCCTTGGGTGAGAAGCTCACACGCCCGCGAGGGCTGCGCCTTGGTCGGCTGATCATCTTTCGCTTCTCGGGCGTCCAAACTTGGTCCCCAGAAATTCGGGCACACAATTGGCACAGTCATATCATGGGGGATGGGGTATACCAACTTTATCATTGGGGTACACACATAAATTTGAAAATGTTGTTCTTTCTGCACTGAAGATATGTTTGCATACTGTAAATGGATGTAAATGGATGTAAATGGATGTAAATGGATGTAAATGGATGTAAATGGATGTAAATGGATGTAAATGGATGCAATGTGTGTAAAATCATTCATACTTAGTTTCAACGAAAAGTCACCCAGCAATCCAAGTTCCACCAATCCACATGAAGCTGAGGAGGCGCACATAGGTGGAAGCACCTGGTGGCAATGGAAATCCAGTTTTTGTTGGCTGTTCTTGATGGGTACCCCCCGGTCATTTAACGGTTTCCTCTGGAAACGCACCATGTGAAAAATAGGAAAATCGTGAAAATAGAATGTTAGTTTACTGGAGGGTAGATAACTCATCCACACGTGGTGGATTTTTCCATACACACCATGTTTGTTTCCCTGAGAGGGTATCCGTGGATTTCATTTGTGAGCAAGTGTCCAACCAAACCGCACAAAGGAAGCAAATGAGGTAAACTCGAACATGGTAGAAACTGAGCAGGCGTAAATTCCTTCAAGTTTACGCTTCAGCAAGTTGATGACGGGTAGATAAAACGCTATAAGATCTATAAGTTATAAGTATGAAGAATGAATAAAAATGATATCACCTTTCTTATTGGTCTTCCGTGGCACTACATATTTTGATGCTGACTCACGATCTTCGGGCAATGACCATGTCAAGAGGATCGACCTCCATTGGACCGCTTGAAATCCTAATGATCATGTGGTAAATCCAATAATGTCTAATATACGTCTAATAATACTTATAATACTCATGGTTTGGTACCAGTTCTGGATGTTCTGGCTAGATGGATCTAAGATTAGTAAGATTAGATATATAGATCATATATATAGATCATTATAGATCTAAGATTAGAAAGCTTATATTATATTCTTATTACCCTCTGGTAAACAGCCACATAACTATGGAACATCACCATTTTTCATGGGAAAACTCACTATAAATGACCATTTTCAATAGCCAAGTCCAGTGAAACGCCCCTGATTCGATGGCCATTCGATGGCGCAGCGGAGCCTTCACGTGGCCGTGGCCGCAGGTCGCCGTGGAGGCTTCGATGGAGCAGCGGAGCCTCACTTGTGAAAGTGGATATGAAACATGAATGGAAGATTGATATGATAATATTGATATGATATGGGTATGGGATATATTGGGATATATATTGGGATATATATTGGGATATATATTGGGATATATATTGGGATATGAATGGAATGTGAAAAATAGATAAAAATAGTGGATTGTACTGGAAAGTTCATGGAAAGTTCATGGAAATATCTTGAAATTTGAGACGCTCTGGGGATAGGCTCCTCTGTCATCCAACATGGCACGCTGGGAAATCCCCATCACCAGATCCGCAAAAAACCAACGGTGACAACGGGGTTTTTTCCAACCTCGGATGCTTCGACTTTAGGTGGATCCTGCCATTTTTTGGTGCCATCTGCTAATGTGAAAAATATGTTATAATATGTGTATGTCATGTTATTTCCATGTATTCCCCCAATGATAAAAAACCCAGGGCTGAAAATCAGGATCCACGCTTCACATTCTTGGGCATTTCTGATAAGGAGACACCACTGGTGATAAGGGGTCCTATTTTAGGAAACATCCGTTTACATTCAGTTGGACCCTGTGAAATCACATATAACTAGATAATTCAGATATGGAAATCAAATGAAATCAAGGGGTGTCTAGTTCCGAAAATGAATGAAAATGACCTACAAATGATGGACGTGCTATGTTCATGTGCGGGATGGCCCCACCAAATGCTGACTGTTTCAAGAGTACTGACCAAACCTAGATCATCCCCCTTGCAATTAGGGGGGGTGCTGGACCCCTCGATTCAGTAGAGGGCCCCAAGGTCAGGCACCAAAAAAATCTTTACTAAATCAATGTCTGCTCTCCAGACTAGGATGTTACCTTCTACAAAATCAAGAACCTTCCAGAGAAAAAACATCTGACGAGGCAAATTCATTTTTCTTACAAAATCCTAAATCATTGTCTTCACTGTTGCGGTGTGGCGCTATGGTTTCTACATGTTTCTACCATTTTCCAAGGGCTTAGGCTCTCCAGAAACTTGTTGATGCCAAGGGGAACCAAACACGCCCAGAAGGATCCCGCTCCAAAGAAAAGTCGGGTAGCTAATCTACGTGAATTCTAGGTGAAAAATCGGAAAATATATATGTCATAGAGTCATAGATTATCTAAACATTCGGGATCTCCCAGCCAGCCCTCGGAGAATGGACCCTGACCCCAACCCCTCCAAGCATCCGGCTTCTCAAGCGATTCCGACACTGGCCGCAAGATCATTTCGGCCTGGGACCGGAGAAAGTGATCAACATCGCCAGTGTGAAATTGGCCATGGCAAGTAAATCATGATGCGAGCAAAAAAAAATGTGAGGTGGAAATGACAAATACATAGAAATTAAACATGATTAAACTAGAAAATGGTGAGGCCGGCAACAAACATGTGGATTTTGAAATTAAAGACTATAAAGATGGAACCAAAACATGGCCATTGCGGAAATTGCTCTAATTTTGGGTTCATGTTTATTATGCACATCAGGCTGGGCCCCCCCAAAGTTTCCGACATGGCCATTAAGTCATGTTGGGTCAAAGCTGGGTATCACCACCACCCAAAAAAAAAACGGTGGAATGATGGTTTACAAATAGTGCTCGGACAAATGGGTGGGCGGAAGTTTCAAAACTGAAACGCCTATAGCCTATAGAGCGGAACGCAGAATGTGCTTATAGGGTGCGGGCACCTTCTGCGCTTCGCAACAACAAACTCTTGACTTTTCAATGTTGGATCTTTTCATGTTTTTTTCATTTCATATGATCTCATCGCATCGCAGCTTCTCTTGGAGACTGCTCATTGCATCCCATGGTTGCTGCAGCCTGCGTCATCCCATCTCATCTCATCTCATCTCATGTCTTCTCTCCTTTTCTCAACTTGTCTCCGCTGATCACAACTTTTCTCATCTCTTCTCATGTCATTAACGGGGTTATTTAACAACTCTTTGACGAGCACAACTTGTCTTCTCAGCTCTTGTCAGCTGCTCCGTTCTACGCAGCTCGTCTCAATTCAGCTCTTCTCGGCTCTTCACCACTCTTCTCCTGTCAGCGCTTCTCAGATTTTGCCAGTTCTTCTCACATTTTCTCAACTCTTCTCAGCTCTTCTCAGCTCATCTCATGTTTTCTCATCTCTTCTCTCCTCTTCTCACATCTTCTAAGCTCTTCTCAGCTCTTCTCACATCTTCTCAGCTGATCCCACAGCTCTTGTCAACTCTTCGCAGCATCTCAGCTCTTTTCAGCTCACCCTCAGATCATCTCAGCTCTTCTGTGGCCCAAAACCTGCTCCAAAGCCGGATCTCGGCGCCAAAGCCACAAAAAGTACGATTTTGAAGGTCTTTTTTAAAGCAAATCACAAATCTAAAAGGGAAATGGTAAGCGCCCAAAACGAGTAAAATCATCAACAACTCCTCGTCGCAACTTTGGCTCAACCATTCCAATGTGATTTGCAAGCAGCAAGTTGCACAACACCATGGAACTACGTGCGCAACAGCAACGTAAAGCAACAGTGACTCAGCCACTTATGTCGTGCGAGACTTCCCTCAAAAAGTGAAAGTTGAAGATGTGAAAACGAAGTTTTCGTGCGAGACTTCCCTCCAAAAGTGAAAGTGGAAGATGTGAAAACAAAGCTTTCGTGCAAGATTTCCCTCAAAAACTGAAAGGTGAAAATGTGAAACGAAGCTTTCATGCAAGACTTTCCTCAAAAACTGAAAGGTGAAAATGTGAAAACGAATCTTTCGTGCAAGACTTCCCTCAAAAAGTGAAAGTAGTAGACCATCACTGCGGTGACAATCATTGCTGTTGAGCATCATTGCTGTTGACTTTCACTGCTGTTACCATCATTGCTGCTAGCCATCATTGCTGTTCACCATCATTGCTGTGACGATCATCGCTGTTGACCATCATTGCTGTAGGGAAAACATTGCTGTTCACCAGAGTTCACCATCATTGCTGTTGACTTTCATTGTTGTTGACTTTCACTGCTGTTGACCATCATTGTTGCGACTTTTGAATCTCAGTAAAAGGGAAGCATAGACGTTTGAATTTCCTTTGACTAGCCAAAATTGACAGGTTCCCTATCATTCCTGGGGGTTCCAAGTTTGACCCACCCGCTCGAAAGGGTCCCAGGCTCGAAATCAAGATCCAAAAAACTGGATCATTGAATAGTACTACAAATTATCTACAAATTATCTATATTATACAAATGATCAATTTCGATGGTCCACTAGCATCCTACTGATCAATTTTGGTGGCTGCTAGTCCATCCCAGGTGTTCCCAGCCACTTTCACATCGTCCTCCATGGATGGCTCTGAGAGAGGCCTTGGTGGGGGCTATTGTTGGGATGATTTTCAGTAGATTTATATGAAAGGTGGAAGATCAAAGGTAAAATCATTACAGATAACTACTACTGATAGTTTTCGAAATTGCTGTTTTATTTGTTGTTAATCGTTCTACTACTGATGGAAAAAAAATACAATTGCAAATTGAAATGGAAGATAATCTACTTCTTGTTGGTGGCGAGGAACTAGCCTCTCTTAAACTGACATAGACAATGAAACCCATGGGTTTCCCCTGGGAAAATGATCCATTTTGGTTAACACGGCACCAACGCCTACCTTAGTTGAAGAGATGTGCTGAAATGGCCTGCTAGATAATTCATGTGCGGTCATTTCCACACATAAATGGTTGTGCCAAAGGGGCAAAGCAAGAACACGTGCTATCATGCAATTTTAAATATCAGATGGTGAAACGATGGACCCACCCCCTACTTCCATGTATCAGGATGTAGTTTTGGTTCACAAATCATTGGGTCAATCCATTGATTTACATCATCATCCCTTTTTTCGAACTGCCATTTGGAGGTATACCATGCTATACCCCATGGATCCCCATGGTTTTTAGACACACCCAAATCATCTCATCTTGGCCCAGGTGCCCATTCTGTTCGAGATATCTCGCCTTTTCAGCCTGATCAAACTGAATCTGGGCCAACTCCGACATCCAGTCAGTTGATGTCATCAAAATGATGTTACTCGGATACCTTCAAGGTGAAACCTCGCCAAGCCTAAAAGCACTTCTGGAAGAAGGAAGAATATTTGTTTGGCTACTTTAGTAGTGGAAAAGAAGATTGGCTCCAGCTCTTCCAACACGATGTAGAAGGTGCATGTATATACTTAATGTTCCTGTGTTCCACTTTCCTGTCCCGCTATTGTAGAGTTCCACCCCCTCAAAGTATGTTACAAGCACCACCACCTACTTAGCAAGAGAAGTGTTGCTTTTCTAAACGGCAATGTCCAAACAAAGTGCAAGAAAATCCCATGTTCCTCTCTAATCCATGTTCTTCTCTTGCATTATCCTACGATCTGGTAAAACAACGTACCAGGCTTAAGGGTTACCAAGGTTACAAACCCAAAAGGGGATGTGGGACCATTTCCCAGGCTTCAACTTGGCGTATCCTAGATGAACTGCAACTGCACTCTCGGCACTTGGCCAGTAACTGTGTCCAACCTGGCCCACCAAGGGGATTTGCAAAAAATGGAAGACCAGAAAAGAAGAATAAAACTATCAACGCATTTGCCTTCATGAATGCATCTTTGCTTTTTTGAAGGAATCTTGCATTTGTTTCCAACAAATTCACAAAAAAATCTTTAGTTTGACCGCCAACAAACAGCTTACCATGGAATTCAAACATTAACATCTATTGAATTCCCAAAAGAGTGCCTTGACCATTATTCCCGCGCGCATCGGGGAGTCATAAATTTTCCCAGTCATCATCTCTTGCAGAAAACTGTCAATGCGGATCAAAGGTCCTCCAAAATTAGGATTTCTATTGTCACTCCAGTGTTTTGGCACCCATCTCAAATTTTCTACCTATCTTTTAAAGCACGGGTGCGTCTGAAATTTTCGGTCTACAATGGTATAGCTTCCAAAGTTTTGAAATGGCCACTTCAATATGGAAAACCATGATTAAGCAGCAGATTCCGTGGTGCTCTAGTTTCAGACCAACCCAAATATGTAGAATGTACACACATATATACATACAGACGCATATATGCATACATGTATACGTGTATAAATACATATTATATATATATGTATATGTACACCTGTATACATATATGTATACATGTATACGTGTACATATAGATATAGATCACGTAACACATATGAAATGCTCCCAGATCACCGGCGCCTGGGCTCATTGCTGGAAGAGGGGAAGCCTTCGCGGGTAGGTGTGGTCATCTCTCAAGCCATTGGGGAAACATTGGATCATGTGTCATGTGGATGGATAGATAGATAGATAGATAGATAGATAGATACATAGATAGATAGATAGATACAGAGATAGATAGAGAGAGAGAGAGAAATAGATAGAGAGATAGATAGATAGATAGATAGCTAGATAGATAGATAGATACATAGATAGATAGATAGATAGATAGATAGAAAGATAGATAGATAGATAGAGAGAGAGAGAAATAGATAGAGAGATAGATAGATAGATAGATAGATCAGATAGATCAGATAGATCAGATAGATCAGATAGATCAGATAGATCAGATAGATCAGATAGATCAGATAGATCAGATAGATAGATAGATACATAGATAGATACATAGATAGATAGATAGATAGATAGAATAGATAGATAGATAGATAGATAGATAGATAGAAAAGATCGAATAAATAGAATAGATAGAAAAGAATAGAATAGAATAGAATAGAATAGGATAGGATAGGATAGAATAGAATAGAATGAATCAGATAGATCAGATAGATCAGATAGATCAGATAGATCAGATAGATCAGATAGATCAGATAGATCAGATAGATCAGATAGATCAGATAGATCAGGTAGATCAGATAGATCAGATAGATCAGATAGATCAGATAGATCAGATAGATCAGATAGATCAGATAGATCAGATAGATCAGATAGATCAGATAGATCAGATAGGTCAGATAGATCAGATAGATCAGATAGATCAGATAGATAAGATAGATAAGATAGGTAAGATAGATAAGATAGATAAGATAGATAAGATAGATAAGATAGATAAGATAGATAAGATAGATAAGATAGAAAAGGTAGATAAGATAGCTAAGATAGCTAAGATAGATAGATAGATAGATAGATAGATAGATAGATAGATAGATAGATAGATAGATAGCTTAGATAGATTAGATAGATTAGATAGATTAGATAGATTAGATAGATAGATAGATAGATAGATAGATAGATAGATAGATAGATAGGTAGATAGATAGATAGATAAGATAAGATAAGATAAGATTGGATTAGATTAGATTAGATTAGGATAGATTAGATTAGGTTAGATTAGATTAGATAGATAGATAGATAGACAGACAGATAGATAGATAGATACACAGATAGATAGATACACAGATAGATAGATAGATAGATAGATAGATAGATAGATAATATTAGATATGATAAGATATGATAAGATATGATAAGATATGATAAGATTTGATCAGATTAGATTAGATTCGATTAGATTAGATTAGACTTTGATAAGGTAAGATAAGATATGATAAAATGGGAAAAATAAAATAGATGGGATAAGATAAGATAAGATTAGGTTAGATTAGATAGATAGATAGATATAATAGATATAAATGTAGATATAGATATAGATATAGATAGATATACATAGATATAGATGTAGATATAGATACAAATATAGACAAAGATATAGATATAGATATAGATATACATTATATAGATATAGACATATAGATATATCCGCCGACCCCGGCAGACGCAAGGGGGAGCGCGCCAGGGAATAAGACATTGCGACTACTACTATACTACTGCAGCTACAGTAGATAGAAACAGCAGCAGCAGCAGCAGCAGCAGCAGCACAACAACCACAACAACGACAACAACAACAACAAGAACAACAACAACAACAACAACAACAACAAGAACAAGAACAAGAACAACAACAACAACAACAATGACCCTTTGCCGGGGGACCCTGTTGGGTCCCCCTCCCACCGGTCACGTACGTCGATTCATTGACTCCGGGGTTTTTGTTTTACCGGTGGGGGGTCCTTCCCGGAGTCTCCTCGAGGTACGTGGGGCTCCTTGGGTTGCCCTTCCCGCTCTGATTTGTTCGTTCGAGGCCGCATCCTCGAGGTTCTATGTCTCATTGTACAAACAGTGGTATCCGCCGACCCCGGCAGACGCAAGGGGGAGTGCGTAAGGGAAAAAGAGTTTATGACACAGCTGCCAGGAAAGAATAATAATAATTCGCTGACCCCGGCCGATGCAAGGGGGAGCGACAACAACAACCATGTGCCACCTCTGCTGTGCTCTCGATAGTCCATAAGCTTCAGGGTTAGGCTGCAATTTTCTTAGATCAAGTCGTGTCTTTGGTACCGGAGCATACTACTTGCCAACATTTTGTTCCACATCTTTTCCCGTTTCGTTTTTTGTGCGCTACCCGTATGCGGCCAAAGCGTTTCGTGCTTTGCACTTCTGTTAAACATGCTGGACACTGATGTGTGAAAAAGCTCTGAATCACTGTGCCACCGCGAACACGGAAGCGGACACCACAATGCTGTTGTTTCGCATCAACTTGTCCATCAGTGACAGTACTACGGACCTGTGTCTCACAATGAGGACATATATATTCATAGACCGGCTTTCTCTGCGAGATAGTGGGCCCTGCTGTATTTTCAACGCATTTTTCAACAGGAATCGTGGTGCGACTACGTTTCCGAGCAATTGCTTCCCATGTCTCCTGGATAATTTGCCTGTGGCGCAATCTTTTCCGGAGAGGTTCGAGGCGAGCTGCACTGGAAGCAGCTGCGCGCTTGCGGACTGCATGCTGCACCTTCGCAGCGTGGCATGTGTTGCATGTCTGCGTTCCATCCTCCTTTCTAGAGGGCCGCCGGGAAATAAAGCTAGAAAAGTGGTGCCGCGACTAGGATTTCAGATGACACGTTAGGGAGTTTTTTGGCGTGGTTCTGGACCTTGCTCGTCCTTCAGAGCGATGGTGTTTTGCTGCCGGGAGCTGCTTTTTTCGAAGCTGTTTTACCGGCATCAGCAGCAGCAGCCGCCGCCACCAGTTCTGCGAGCAGCCGCAGGCAACAGAATCTGTCGACAAATGCTGTTTTTCTAGATTTCCAGACGACACGTTAGGGAGTTTTTTTTCGCGTGGTTTTGGATCTTGCTCGTCCTTCCGAGCCATGGTGTTTTGCTGCCGGGAGCTGCTTTTTTCGAAGCTGTTTTACCGGCATCAGCAGCAGCAGCCGCCGCCACCAGTTCTGCGAGCAGCCGCAGGCAACAGAATCTGTCGACAAATGCTGTTTTTCTACATTTCCAGACGACACGTTAGGGAGTTTTTTCGCGTGGTTTTGGACCTTGCTCGTCCTTCCGAGCCATGGTGTTTTGCTGCCGGGAGCTGCTTTTTTCGAAGCTGTTTTACCGGCATCAGCAGCAGCAGCTGCCGCCACCAGTTCTGCGAGCAGCCGCAGGCAACGCAGGCAACAGAATCTTTCGACCTTGCTCGTCCTTCAGAGCCATGGTGTTTTGCTGCCGGGGGCTGCATTTTTCGAAGCTGTTTTACCGGCATCAGCAGCAGCAGCCGCAGGCAACAGAATCTCTCGACAAATGCTGTTTTTCTAGATTTTTCTAGATTTCCAGACGACACGTTAGGGAGTTTTTTCGTGTGGTTTTGGACCTTGCTCGTCCTTCAGAGCGATGGTGTTTTGCTGCCGGGAGCTGCTTTTTTCGAAGCTGTTTTACCGGCATCAGCAGCAGCAGCCGCCGCCACCAGTTCTGCGAGCAGCCGCAGGTAACAGAATCTTTCGACCTTGCTCGTCCTTCAGAGCTATGGTGTTTTGCTGCCGGGGGCTGCTTTTTTCGAAGCTGTTTTACCGGCATCAGCAGCAGCAACCGTCGCCACCAGTCTTGCGAGCAGCCGCAGGCAACAGAATCTCATGACAATCTCTCGACAATGTGCTGTTTTTCTAGGATTTCAGACGACACGTTAGGGAGTTTTTTGGCGTGGTTCTGGACCTTGCTCGTCCTTCAGAGCCATGGTGTTTTGCTGCCGGGAGCTGCTTTTTTCGAAGCTGTTTTACCGGCATCAGCAGCAGCAGCCGCCGCCACCAGTTCTGCGAGCAGCCGCAGGCAACAGAATCTGTCGATCTGTCGACAAATGCTGTTTTTCTAGATTTCCAGACGACACGTTCGGGAGTTTTTTCGCGTGGTTTTGGACCTTGCTCGTCCTTCCGAGCCATGGTGTTTTGCTGCCGGGAGCTGCTTTTTTCGAAGCTGTTTTACCGGCATCAGCAGCAGCAGCCGCCGCCAGCAGTTCTGCGAGCAGCCGCAGGCAACGCAGGCAACAGAATCTTTCGACCTTGCTCGTCCTTCAGAGCCATGGTGTTTTGCTGCCGGGGGCTGCTTTTTTCGAAGCTGTTTTACCGGCATCAGCAGCAGCAGCCGCAGGCAACAGAATCTCTCGACAAATGCTGTTTTTCTAGATTTTTCTAGATTTTTCTAGATTTCCAGACGACACGTTAGGGAGTTTTTTCGCGTGGTTTTGGACCTTGCTCGTCCTTCCGAGCCATGGTGTTTTGCTGCCGGGAGCTGCTTTTTTCGAAGCTGTTTTACCGGCATCAGCAGCAGCAGCCGCCGCCACCACTTCTGCGAGCAGCCGCAGGTAACAGAATCTTTCGACCTTGCTCGTCCTTCAGAGCTATGGTGTTTTGCTGCCGGGGGCTGCTTTTTTCGAAGCTGTTTTACCGGCATCAGCAGCAGCAACCGTCGCCACCAGTCCTGCGAGCAGCCGCAGGCAACAGAATCTCTTGACAATCTCTCGACTATGTGCTGTTTTTCTAGGATTTCAGACGACACGTTAGGGAGTTTTTTGGCGTGGTTCTGGACCTTGCTCGTCCTTCAGAGCCATGGTGTTTTGCTGCCGGGAGCTGCTTTTTTCGAAGCTGTTTTACTGGCATCAGCAGCAGCAGCCGCCGCCACCAGTTCTGCGAGCAGCCGCAGGCAACAGAATCTGTCGACAAATGCTGTTTTTCTAGATTTCCAGACGACACGTTAGGGAGTTTTTTGGCGTGGTTCTGGACCTTGCTCGTCCTTCAGAGCCATGGTGTTTTGCTGCCGGGAGCTGCTTTTTTCGAAGCTGGTTTACTGGCATCAGCAGCAGCAGCCGCCGCCACCAGTCGTGCGAGC